CCTCTTCGGATGGATGTGGCTAGATGGTAAGGTCAGTAATGGGGTCTTAATGTCTTCGAAACAAATCATTGTAGAATCAGCTCAGACCTGGAGGTGGCGTTTGTTCAGGTTGGAGGACTCGGGGCCGTATTTTGACCAAGAGAGCCAATGCATTACACACCCCGCATGCTCCGTGTAGGCGCCTGACGGTGCGTACGTGAGAAATAATAGTACATGGGATGAGCCTCCAGTGTGGATTCAGGCTTCAGGTCTCAGCTCCTGGGTGCTGGAGGTCTCTCCTGCCATCAGCGGCTCCGCTCACTACTCGCTGACCCCAGAGCTCAGTCACAGGGACCCCCAGCTCCACTGGTGCATCCGCTTCTGAGGAGATGGGGTGCGGCCCCTCTGGGGGCTTGGCCAGGCCTGTGTGAGTCTCTGTGCTGGGTGGGAGGCCCACTGCTTATGAATGCAGCCCCTAGCTGCGAGAATTTGGCTGCTGCTTCCTTGTCCTTCGGTAGGGGTAGAAAACAGGGCAGGGTTCCTCCTAGGAGGGCTTCTCAGCCACCCAGGTCTGGACACCCTCCCCACATATCAGGCCTTTGCTTGACAGGAAACCATCTCCCTACATTGGTAGACATGACAGCTCAGAGCCGCATGAAGGATGGGCTACTAGCGTCTTAACAGACGAATCTTAAATCTGGGAAGATCTAGATAAGTGCAGCCGAGTATTTCTCAGACCTCCCAGGTTAAGCATTAAACTCTTTGTCTTTATATGTGCCATGATGGCCATTGTTTTATTTGGCATTGCTTTCGCTACCTTGAAGCGTAGTTGACCAGTTTGCAGGATACGAACCGTACATCTTGGCGATTCGAGGTACACGTACGTGTGGAAGGACCTCACCGTCTGACAAATCAGCACACCCATCACCTCACATTGAGCACCAGAGACACAGGAACCCATGAGACAAGGCCCTTACCTGTTAGAATGGCAGTTACCTGAGAGAGAGAAAGGACAGTATTTAGAAAGGATGTGGCGCAAGGGAGTCCTGGGTGCTGTTACGAGAGAGGTAAATTAGTGCAGCCACAGCATAAGCATCACTGAAGTGCCTCAGAATGAAATTAGAGCAACTATGTGGTCCGGCTGCCTCAACTTCTGGGTATCCACAGGAAATGAAGCCAGAATTTTGAAGAGCTACCTGTACACTGTGTCTACACAGTGGGACTCACAGTAGCCCAGACATGGAACAGCAGAAATCTCATAGGCAGGAGAATTGATAGAGGGGTAGCCATGTACCTATGCTGGAATATGATTCAGCCAAGAGTAAGAAGAGAAGAAATCCTGGTCACTCGCAGCAGCTGGCATCATGTCCACAGAAAAAGACAAAGACGGCTTTTGTTTTTTGACCGAAGGTGATGAACATGACTTGACTGTCAGTCCTGTGGAGATGGTGTGGGCTTGGCGTTTGCACCTGGGACCCAGCTGCAGGGTTTCTGAGCGTTGCGTCTGCACGTGATACTTTCTGGCTGCTCGTGTTTTCGTTGTGTCCACGCCCTTTTTTGACACTGTCAGTTATGCACTCTGGCATCCCCTCTCCACAGGGGCAGGAGGACAAGGACTGAGCCAAAGTGAAAGGGCAGGACTTGAGTGAAGAATAGAAAAGCCCACTTTGGCTCACTGGGATCCCTTTCTGTCTCTGTTTTTTGGGGCAGTGGGGTTTGCGATCAGTTATGTCTGTAATGTGTGAATTTGGCTTGGAACTGATTCTTGTTCAACGGGGATTTCACGGTGACATTGAATAATTCCCCAAAACTGTTAACAGTAAGGACTTAGCTGCTGTTCGGGAATTCTGCAGTGCTTTCTGATTCTGGGCAGATTATTTCGCTCTCGGAACAAGCAAATGTTGGGGCTACTGAGATGCCGGTTTTCTTGTCCCGCAGCAGCGAGGCTGGCCGCAGCAGCAGTGACCCCGCCGCTGGGCATTTCTCCTGCGTGCCCCAGCCAGGCCAGCGATTCCGCTGCCCTTCTCTCAGTTCAGACTGAGCCGTGCGGCTCTGGGCCCGGCCCCCCACACAGACGCTGCCCACCAGCTGGGGCGGAGCTGCGGGGTGTGGCCGCCGGCGTCCCAGGGAAGCGTTTCTGGTTACTTAGGTAGGGCTCAGCCCAAGTCGTCGCTCAGTCACTAGATCCCGAAGTTCTGACTTGGAAGGCCGATGTGCAAATAAATAAAATGAGAAAAACTCCCAAAGGTGGCAGGATTTTATTACTGAGTAAAGTATCAAACCAGCATGAAGAATCCAAACCAAAATAAACTTTGAAAAATGCAGAGGTCCTGGGCTCCCCCTGAAGACTGCCGTCTGGCGAGAAGGACCGACGAGCGCGCAGGTCAGACGCGCACACACCACACCACACACGCACTGGGCCTAGGCATACCGCATTCCAGACACACACCACACGCACACACACAGCACGGCCCGCACGAAGATTCAGACTTCTAACTGCTGAAACCGGTGGGAAACAGTTTAAGACTGAGCTGACGTCTGAGTTACTAAAACCTAGTGGCATGACCCTCCGCTTCACTGCCTCCCTGGCCCTGCAGAGCAAGGCAGGGTGTTCTCCCCTCCTGACCCAGAAAGCAGGCCAGCCAGCGGGAGGGTCAAGGCAGCGAGGACTGATGGGGCCTTCTCGACGGGTGCTGACCCCGCCGCGGTCACGTCCCGATCTCAGAGCAAGGTTCAGCGAGGAGCCCGTGGAGTGGACGGGTCGGAACCGCCCCTGCGTGCAGGGAGGACGGCGAGGCAAAGCCAGCCAGTTCCGGGGGAGAGGTTTCTTGGAAGAGCCGTGTCAGGCAGTGATGGAGAACCCGGTGAGGGGCTTCCTCGGGGCACCCAGGTGCAAGTGTCCCTGCATTGTGAAACACAGAGACCCTGGCGCCCTGGGGGCTGGAGCAGCCCCCACAGGAGATGGCCTTGTCTGTCTTGGGGAGGGTGCTTCCTCGAACCCGGCAGCCAGCGCTGGAGAGAGCTGGCTTCAGCTGTCCGTGGTGCTGGTGTCTTGCCGTCACACAGCTCAAGGTGTGCTGGCAGGAGGCACAGCGGAAGGAAGAACATGCACTCGCAGGGGGCCGCGGAATGTCCACAGGGCGCCAGGAGGTTGTCGTGCTGGAAGCTGCAAAGCCCAGGCACCGGCCTGTAACTGGGCACGGGACTGAAAGGGTTTTTCACCCTCCCCTGTGTAGCCCACCGGCCCGTTGCTCTTTGAGACGTGGGTAGCAGGGAAGACGCCCAGTGAGCAGCGGCAAGCACTGGTCTGCGCTGAGAGAGGGAGGAAAGTGTGCTTGTGGGTCAGCACTGCTGTTTGCTCCAGGCTGCCTGCCGTCTGAGTTGACACTGTGCTTGCCAGGTGTGGCCTCCAGTGACACCCAGATAAGGATGGGTAGGAGGCGCCGAAGCTCTCCGCCTTTTTTGCTAGTGGGGGACAGCTTTTAAAGCGATGCTGGGCTCTACGATGACAGTGTCCTGTCCGTACCCTAAAATGTTGGGCTTCTCCAGTGTGCGGGTTGGGGGACACATTTCAGCCGGAGGACGGGAGAGCAGAGGAATCAATGAGAAGCAAACGTGATGTGCTAAGAGGAGCATCGGTGTGAGGGGGCTGAAGCTCAGGGTGAGGGAAGAGAGGGGAGTGCTGGGGGCGAGCAGGTTCAGCGGTGCCCACTCGGGGCTGCCCTGCACCACACCCGAGGGGGCCTGAGCCCCGGGTAGTTGGTGAGGGTGGCTGGTGAGCCCTGGGCGGGCGGGCGCCGCTCCAGTACTTAGCCCTTCACACAGCTGCCAGCCCCGGAGCCTGACTCGCAGGCGACAGCTAGTCAGATCGCAAGCGCGTAGGTGGGTGAGTTGGCCCAGAAGTTGGCCTTACAAAATGTAGGCAAGAAGGTGGGTCCGAAGGGGGCTGCCTGCTCGCTCGACTGTCGTTGAGGTTAGAATAGATACGGAAGTGCAGTCGGAAGCAGTGTATACTTTTTGCATCATTCTTCATTTTGTGCCTTTTTCCACCTCAGTGGCAGTCCCTATGGACTGGCCACCATCACCATAGTCCCGTGCCCTTTCCCACCCCATTTTTGATTCCACTCCACCCCTTATAATGGCTCTGGTATCTAGTTGTTCGTTGTGTTTCATTTTATCTTTCACCCTCCTCTCCCCCCGGTCCCACATGGTGCTGCTATCAGTGAAACCCTCAGCCATCAAAAAAGATAAACTCATGCCTTTCGCAGCAACTTGGATGGAGCTGGAAGGGACCAATGTGTACTTCTGATGTCAGTCAGCTGATCATATGTCTTACAACAATGTTCATAAACGCAGGTCTTTAATGTTCGCATATGTAGGTCTTTTAAAAAGTATTTTAGCAAGCTGGTTTGATGTTTTTATTTTATTTATATTTTTAAAAGATTTATTTATGCATCGAAGAACTGGGGTATAGGCCAGAGGTACAGGGGGGTGAGAGGATTCACCAGAGACAGAGCGGGGAGCAGAACAGGCAGATCTGTGAAGCCCACTGCTGAGGGGAGCAGGGGCGGGTCAGGAGAGGCCTGCAGAGCCATCAGTGGGTCATTTCCCTGGCCGGGGGTCATAACTCCGGGTACAGGAGCAATAATGCTGAGACTTAACCCCTTGGCCCATGGGGAGTCCCCCTGACTTGCTATTTTGAAATTTAAGTAGATCTAAATTTCGGTTTTACATGTCTACTGAGGGGATGACTTCAGGTTTGAATAGATTTCTCCAAAAAAAAAAAAAAATTTCTTTAACTCATTCTGTTGTTGTGATTTCTGTTTTTAATAAATCTGCTATCGTACACACACAAAGTATGGACAGCAGGAAACTGGCTGAGCTGTGTGTAGGGAGCCCCTTCTGTGCCCAGCTACAACAAGGTTTGTGTTCCTGTTTATTAAACTTGGTACTGCCGGACAAAGGCCACAGCTTTGTCATCAGAGACTTAAGTTTAGATTCCGACTTTTCTTCTCTCACAGGAGCAGATTTCCCCAGAAGGACCTAGAAATGTTGTTCCCAGGAATGAGTGCCGATTTTACAAGTGAGAATTTTTCGGCAGCCTGGTATCTGATCGAGAACCACTCAACCACCAGGTGAGCAGGGGTTGGTCTGTGGCTGTGAATAGCACCCCAGGATGCAAAGTCATGTGGGTGTCAGGACCGCTTCTGCCTCCTGTGTGCCTTGTGACTTTGGGTGGCACGTGAATTCCTTATGTATAAAATGGGATCACTAATGACACATCACTAATGATGTTTCATCATTTGTGTGACTGATTAAGGGGGGCGGGGCGGTCTCTGCTGGCTGCCTGGACTGATGTGTCTGAGTATGAGCTCGCCCTTTCCAAATGGAGGAACTTTCATGCCCTGGTGGAACAGGGAACACACCACCTTCCCTGAACAGAAAGCAAAGGATGAAGGGCTGGTCGCTGTTTTGTGAAGAGGTAGCTGAAAAGTAGCCAAAAATTGGACAAGATCATCTGTCCAAATTCAAGTCCTCTTTTCTGTTTGCTAATTCCAGTCACTCCTTCTTGACACAGGAGCAGGTTTGTAAGATACTGGTAAAGCTGGCTTAAGATAAAATTTGGTAAAAATATTTCAATTAATGGATGACTGATCCCTTAAAACTGGTATTCTTGAAAAGACAGCTCGTTAAAATGTAGTCTGGAAGACGTCCTCCCTTTATCTGTTAGGATGGAAACCATTTGCAGAAAACCCAAGGAAAAGTTGATGTGAACATGGAGTCAGTTTGGTCTGTTTTTGAGCAAAGCCTGACATCTTCTACTGAAATGGTTCTGATTTTACATTGTAGATGTGCATCTTCTGACGTTATTATAAAGGCAGCATTGACCTCTGTTTCCTGTGTAAGGCTAGCAGGCACTTAAGAATAAGTATGTCCAGAGTTTTAAAGCCAGGTTTTCTTAGTTCAAGTGGAAGTGAAACTTAGGAAATACAGAGGTCTGCCTGTGTTTTCTCTGTCTGTGATGTAGCGATAAAATGGTACCATCTTCTCAGTTTCTTAAATTGTGAGTTGACCCCCAGGATTTGTGCAGTTTCTGGTTTTCGTCAGCGGGCTCAGTGTCTGTAGTGAGGATAACTGCACCTCAGCTGTGTGCAGACACAGAACTGGATGTCCTGGGAGCGCCACCTTCCCACCCAGGAGGTGACGCTAGAAGCTGTCTCCCTGGCAGTTCGTATTTATTATCCTTAGCGCTTGTGGAAATCTCCACATGTGTATTTACATTCCAAGTAGGTCTTGCCTACTTGGAGGAGCCATTTGAGGGCCACACGCTTCTTAGCACTACTGAAATGTTGGCACTTGTGCTGAGTGAAATGTTGAGTTTCAGGTAAGAATTTGGAAACTTTCTGCCTTTCTCTGGTTACGTGGCATGTTGCATGTGACTAACACAGGCGTTAGTGTTTCACAATGAATGTGTGATCTTATGTCTTCGTTGCTTGTTAGCCATCTCAAGCTTATGATTTCTCTGCTTCCTCTCAGCTTTGAGCAGCTCAAAATGGCTGTCACCAACCTAAAGAGACAGGCCACCAAGAAGAGCGAAGGCAGCCTGGCCTACGTGAAAGGAGGTCTCAGCACTTTCTTTGAGGCACAGGATGCCCTCTCAGGTAAGGCGACTCTGGGAGCCATCTGCTGGGCTCCCCCACCGAAACCCGACCCTGTGCGTGAGGGTGTTTACAGGGTGCGACATTGGGCCTGTATTTATAAAAGCAGAGATCTAAAATGTGCCATAAATATTTGTTGCAGACCAGCCTGGAATCTCTTTGAAGGCCTGGCACTTTAAATATTTGTCTCTGAGGACTTTGTTGACCCACCGTGCACATATGAAATAGGAGACCACTTTGCCTCTCCTCCATGTCCCATCTCCAGGGCCAATAAGAAATTAAATCCTAATGGGTAAAATTCAAGAATTTTAGAAATCCTTTTACAGCCATCGGTATCTTCCATGTGCTAATTCTATAAATGTGACTCGTTATGTGCTTGGTTTGGAAAGAACTGGAGATCATCTCTCATTCTTTGTAGCCGCCGGCCCACCAGGTCTCGTCACACACACTCCAAGTTAACTGTCCGCCTGTCATCATTTTCACGTGGGAGGGAAATAGCTTTACGTGGAAGTAGAATAGCTTTGGATATTTCGGGGAAAGGTTAGGGTACATTTAATTTTTTCCTTCCCAAATTTCCTTTGGTTAAATAGAAATCAAATTATTGTTTATTCATGAAAAATAAAACACATTGATTAAATGTAACCAAATATTTTTAAGAACAAAGCCGTTTAGAACCAAGTCCCTGTAAGTTAAGTACCAGTAACTCTTAAGTGTTGGCTCAGAGGCCACACTGTCTTGAGCTCAGAAAAGCTTATTTTTATTTCTGTGAACTTCTGTTTTGCAAGCATAGATATCCTTTCCTTGTTTTTAAAACCCCCTCCTCCCAGGCCAGCCATGCATAGCCGACACCTGACAATTTAAACGTGCGTTTCAAACAGTTCTTTCCTTGCAGATAAAGGTTAAGTTTTTAAAGGAGCAAAACATGATGCCACGGGAAGAGCAGAGCAGGGAGGCCTGGCAGTGTCTGAGGCGCCTTTCCTTCTTTCTTTGTGCTTCCACATGTTCTCAGATACTAACAGTCACTGCGTGTAGGAATATTAGAGATACTAATAGTTTTGTGACCCTAGAAATGATGATTTGTCATAGGTGATCAGGTCACAGAAATGACCCTAATTACCTCACTCAGCAGAAATGCACATTTGACTTTCCTTTCCACCCTTAAAAAAAAATCTATTTGTATTTACAGCGTTGCTTGTGTTTGTTTATTCATGGTTTTGCCTCTGTAAATGGCTTCAGTTGGCCTATTTTGAGAAATTTTATTTGGTGCTTTAAATTGATGGTATCTGTCAATTGTATGTGACCGAAACTTTTCTTTTGATTGTTCCTTTTGGTAATTATTTTAATGTGTGACATTTGATTTATTAGTAGACATGTTTCCATTTGCTTTAGAAGTAAACTGGTTAATTTTAAGTTTAACCACTAGGCAAATATTGTGTAACACCTAGAAAGTGATTTTAATTGTACATTTGAAAACTTTAGACACAAATACATTTATCTATCTAGCTTTCCATTTTTTTGCAAATGAAATGCATAATATAAAAGTATTGAGCAGATAATAAGCAACAACTACCTAAAATTCCACTGTAAATAAAACCACATTACCTCTTGATATATTTCCTTTTGATGCTTTTTTTCTTAATTTGTATGAGAACATGCTACAGAGCTGGAATTATATTGTATGTACAATTGTATATGTCAGAAAATGCTTTTCCTTTGGTTTCTTTTCTTGGTAATTATTTTATTATATGGTCTTTGATTTATTAATAGTAAACACTTTTCCAACTCTAGTCTTAAGTGAAATTGAGCTGTAGCTTTTAAAATGCACTTCTGGCCAGGTCTTGGTATTCTGTTGTGTAGAACTATATGGATATGTTCTCTATATGTCTGGACTATGAAATGGGTTCTGTGAATTAGGAGTTATATGGCGAAAATTTGAAAAAGCTAATACATAAAATTGTCTGCTCAGGTAAGTGGTTTTGCTTTTCTATTATGGAAGATTTCAGACATGCTAAAAGTAGAGAGAGCAGTTGCACAGTAATACTTGTTATCTAAATTACCAGTTACTATTTTTACATCCTGTTCCTTCAGTGTTGGCTGGCTTGTGTTTTGCTGAATTCAAACAGCGAGTCTCAGGTAGCTAGACGTTTCTCTCCAGTACACCTTAGTGTGACTCCCTCCAAATAAAGGGGCGTTTACCTGTAGAGCCACAGCACTGTGATCACCACTAACAAGAATTGCAGTAGTTCTTCAGTATCCCCCAAGTTTTGCTTCGTATTCAAGTTACTTCTTTTGAAAGTTAGTGATTATTTTTTTACATCATTCTTCATCTTGTGCATTTTTTCATCTCATTTGTAATCCCCATGTGCCTCACCCACCAATTCACCCGCATGCGTGCCATCACCATATTCAAATTTAATCAACTTACCCTCTGACTTTCTTCCTTACAGTTTTTGGTTTGTCCAAATCACAAGTCAAATAAAGTCAAGGGGTTTCACTTGATTTTTTATAAGGTTCTTAAGCCTCTTTTAAATTAAAACAGTCTCTTTACCTCCCTCACCCTGTTTTTAATTCGTTTTTTATGCTATTGATGTGTTGAAGAAGTGAGGCTATTTGTCCTGCAAGATATTCCGCACTGGATTTGACTGATTACATCCTCATGGTGTCATTTAACTCCCTTTTCTCCTTCTTGTATTGCTTGGACTCAGCTAATTGGACATCAGATAAGATTCTGTTTCAGCATTTTGGCCACACATAGTGCTGTGTGCTTCCTATTCATCTCATCAGAGGTCATTAGTGTCTGGTTGTCCTCCTGTTAGAGACACTGTGCTGAAGCGGTGCTGTCTGGCAGCTACACATGCACACACGTTCACACACATGTGCATACACACAGACACACATGCACAAGTATACTTTGCAAATTTCTACTTTCTGGGTTTTGTCTTAGCTTGGTTTCCCCCCAAACTGCTCATGTGGTTTAGAGTAGTAGGATAATTTTTAAACAATTTCAAATTGATGTTATAGGCCCTTCTCATTATCAGTGTAGTTTCTTTTCATGTTCTATTTGATTTGTGTATTAATAGTTTTAATAATTTTTCACTCAAAAATTTGAAATTTTAAAAATTTGAAATTTTTTTTCCTCCTTGATCTAGTTTGTAATGAATTTTTATTTTTTATTTTATTTTTTTTAAAGATTTATTTATTTCTGCATACAGAACTGGGGTACAGGCCAGAGGTGCAGGGGTGGCGAGAGGCTTCACCAGAGACAGAGTGGGGAGCAGAACAGGCAGATCACAAAGTCCGCTGCTGAGGGGAGCAGCGGGCGGGTCAGGAGAGGTCTGCCGCGCCATGGGGTCACCTCCGGGGCAGGCAGGGATCGAACTCATGAGGAAGTGGCTTTAGCTTCTCAGTGCTGTGCTTTAACCCGCTGCGCCACCAGGGAGGGCCATGAATTTTTATTTTTAAAAGGTGGTTTCTAGTCTTATAAAAAGAAAATGCATTTCTTAATAGATGTCCACTTTCTGTAAGTGTAGAGAGAGCATTATTCTCTTTAGGGCACACTTTGATTATCAGTGTGAGTAACTCATCAGTGAATGATTGTCAAGGTCTCATTACTTAAATCCAGGTTATTTATAATAAAAAAAATGTTTCATTTTGATTCTGTTAGCTGTCCTTTGAGTATTAAACATGCTTATTTTGTAACTTTGGGTGACTTGCATTCTTAGGATATGAACATTATACTACAGTACAGCCTTTTCCTCTTCACACCAGGGTTATGTGCTGAGAAATGCGTTGTTAGGTGACTTTGTTACGTGTGAATGTCGCCAAGTATGATCTCACAATCCGGACAGTACAGCCTGTCGCCCACCTGGCTCTACGGCGCGGCTGAGGTGGCTCTTGTGAGTGTGTCTTAATATCGTTAGGGCTGTCTGGTAATTAGTGGCAATTCCCAGTGCCACCCTCTCACTTAGTTTCTGAGAGGACTCACAGGATTCACTGAAAGGTGTGGTGCTCAGGGTTGTGGTTTATTACAGTGAAAAGAGACACATTAGCCTTAGGCAAAGGAAAAGATGCCCAAGCCAGATGCAGGAAAGTTCCGCCCGGGAGCTTTCAGTGTCAGAGTGGCAGCGTGGACGTAACAGTTTCCTAGTCACAATGTGAGGTCATGTGCACTGCGCATTGCCAACCGAGGAATCTCACCCAAGTTTGGCATGAAGAGTTTTTATAGGGTCTCTGTCACGGACAGTGTTGATTGTCCTTGGAGAGGAGCTACATCTGTAGTTTTTCTGGACGCGGAACTGATGCTGAGCGTGGAACACAAGGACCCCCAGTATGCAAAGATACCTATTTTTTAATTAGGAAGGGCATTGAAAGAGTTTAGAGATCACCTCCCAAGACTGATTCTTGTCTACACAATAATGAAAAGTTAGTATTCCGTACCCTTTCTGTTGTGTGTATTTGCTTGATAGATATCAGGCAAATCTTTTGACCTTCAGAACTTTAAATTTTCACATCTCTTGTGAGCAGCATGTGGCCGCATCCTTTTATTTTCACATTGCTCTGAGTCTTTGCCTTTTAATGGAAATGTTTAAGCCACTGGCACTCTCCCTGGTGGCACAGCGGGTTAGCGCACAGACTGTGGAGCTCTGTGCAGCCAAGCAGCGTGAGTTGCATCCCGACGGGGGCTGAGCCCCGTGGTGGGGCTGACCCCCGTGGTGGGGCTGAGCCCCGTGGTGGGGCTGACCCCCGTGGGGGGGCTGACCCCCGTGGTGCGGCAGACCTCTCCTGGCCCGCCCACTGCTCCCTTCAGTGGGTCTCTTCTGCTCCCCACTCTGTCTCTGGTGAGTCCTCTCACCGCTCACACTTCCAGCCTGTACCCTAGTTCTTATATGCATAAATAAACAAGTCTTTAATACAAAAAAAGAAATGTTAAGTCATTTACATTTATCATAATTAGAACTTTCCCCTTGATTTTATTGTTGTTTTTTTGTTTTTTCATTTTCCCCTTGCCACATAGCCTATTTGTTTGCAGACTTGTGAGAAATGTTTTAAAATTCTGTTATAGGTGTTTTTTTAACTCTTGTATATGATTATAGTTCCGCACATTTTATTTCTCCGGATTTTTCCGTTTTTCTGATCTTAATTTAGTAGGAAGCTGTTAACTCACAACTTCTTGTTTTATCTTTTATTTTCCAGGTGACTATAGTGTTTACACCTAGATTTATTTTTCCTGTGTGTTTAACTGTGATGTATATGTCACAGGTATTTAAAATTTAGCATCTTACATGTAAACTTAAATGTTTTTAATGTTTACTGCCAGTCGTTTCACATGTCAACTCCCTTGTCTTTGGGTTTCTTGTTTGAACTGTGTGGTAAAGCTTTTAAATTCTTGCATGTCTGGAAATAGCCCTTGCGTTCTTTCATACTTATTTTCAGAAGACACTGACCCACAGTGTCTTTTAGTTTTGCAGAGAAGAATCTGGAACCAGTGTCATTCTTTATAAGATACAGATAAATTGTTTTTGTATGTGCTTAAAAGATAGCTTTGTTTAGCCTTGAATTTAATTAAACAACAACAGCACAGCCTTTTAGGATACTTCGGAATTTGGGCTTGTTTTTGTTCATTTTGCCCAACACTTGACAAGCTTTTAGAATCTGTAGATGCACAGCTTCAGTTTTCAACTTTTCCTTTGCTTCCAAGGTCACCCCAGTCTCTCTCAGAGTAGCCTCGTGTGGGTGGTTACTCCTGTTCTGCTGCTGGGCACGTGCCCTGGGCCCCTTCTGCTTTTTAGCCAACTCCTAAGGCTTCTGGCAGAGTGTAGCTCAGCGAGTTATGTTCCTTCTGTTTCTTAGCCGTGCTGAAGGTTGGAAATGTGGTCTCTACACAGTTTCAAAAGGACAGGTGTTGGGAGTAAGAAAAAAGGAGGAGCAGGAGCGTAGTCCTGAAGATAGTCCTGCGAACAAGGGAAACTCTTTCCACTCAGCGTTACCCTTGTGTTATGATCTTAAGCTGGATAGAGATGCCTTTCTTGGCTCCTTTTGGTTTCATCGGGGTTCTGGGTGCTGAAGTAGACTTACTGATGTGGAGCAAGCATACCTCTGCCCGTCTCTCCCAGCCAGGCACACATCAATAGCCGTTACCTGTTGTTTGGCCTTTGACTTTTTGTAAGTTTCTGTGCTAATGACAATTTTGGGTTTTGTTTGTTCCTGTGTCTACCCATTTTATCTACTCATGTGTTTACTTGTTGAAATAGATTTTAGAATTTCAATTCGGGATGACATTTTTACTTCTCCATTTGTACCCTTGAGAATTTTGGTTAGAAGCCTGTCCGGCCTAACTGATCTGCTGATATCAACCTCAGTGTGTTCATTGGAGTTTTTTCCTCCGCCACATCTTGCAGAAACACCTCCAGCCCCACCGCTCACTTCCCTATGGCCAGCACCTGCCGTTCTCTGCCAGCCATGCAGTCTCGCTGAGATGTAGTTTCTTCCCGGCTCCTGCTAGCCCAGTCCTCCCGGGGCGTGGCCATGTCTGTGGAGCTTCTCACCTATAAGGCTCTCTTCATTTCCTCCGTGTCCCCTGCTCATCACCTTGTCCGGTAAACCTCTCCTCGACTGCTGGAGTTTGTCACTTGCTGCAGTGACTTGGTTTTTTGTGGCAAGTGCAGAGGACGCTGTGGGCCAGAACTGCAGGACCCCTGTTCCCTACAGCACACTAGAATCAGGAACAGCAGTGAAGTGGAGTGCTAGCTGCCTGTTGCTCGGTCCTCAGTAGGCGCTTCCTTCACGTCACCTTCCTGACCGCTGCCAGGTCTGTGAGCTCTCGCTGGTGTTCTGGTACCTTCTGTTCACGGTGTCCCTTGCTGTCTGGCCATCTTGGACTCGTTCATTGAGTCCTTTCAAAGTATGAACCCATTCAAACTGTTGATTTCCTATATAGTCAGTACAATTATTTTATTACATATTTTAGTTTTTTAAAAATATAACTGAGGAGAAAAAAGTGATGATCCAACCAATTTAAACAGAATTTACCTAGCCATTCCGATAAAAGTTTGGTAGAATGAGAAGTAGAAAGTAAATGTTCGAAGAAATTCTCAGAAATGTAAACCATGAGCCCCTCTCGACCTGGCCCTGCATGTCTCCCCGTCCTACCCTCAGAAGTAGGCCCCCGCCTGGCTTTATACAGGTCAGAGGCCAGCACGGCTCTGCTTTTCAAGGCTAAAAAAAAAAGAGAGCGAGCGAGGGTAGATAGAGACCCTGTGGCCCTTCCAGGTCTGCTGTCTGGCTCTTTGTGGAAGTAGCGGCCAGTCCCGGAGCTCGTCGCGCTGACCTCCTCCGGCAGGCAGGCAGCGGGACGCGCCGTGCTCTGACCATGGGTCTCTCAGGCACTGCCCATCCACCACGCCTCCTCGCTGCTTCATTCATAACCTCAGTGTGTAAATTCACGGACAGATAGTCTCCAACTCGAAATTAAAATCTGCAAATCTGAAGCCTACATTTCACGAGAAAGTTCAGTAAAACAGTGCAGTTGTTCCTGGGACCCCGTGAAGCCTCCCTCTCTCTTTCTGATTTGTCTTTGAATAGGGCTTTTATACGTAGCGTTTTCACGTCTCAAGTATAAGTTTATGGGGTTCAACTGCTTCACATATTCAGGTTTTAATAGATTAGAAACAATAACAAACCTGTGATCATGTACCAAGTTGCTTATTGAGTTATATGATTTAAAAATGTTTTCAGAGAAAATAAAAGGTCAAGTGAACCAGACATTGGGTTATTTGGTTTAATTTTCTGGAAAATAGGATTGCCTTTATCAGATCTCAGTGTCTCTCTGTGCTCATGCTTGGCTGACAGCTTGACAGTGGCTTTGCTGTGGTGGAGATGGGCGGCAGGAAGCTGCTTTGTCAGCAGAACAGGGCTGTAAACCGAGCTGGGGGGACCCGGCTCACCTCCTCGTGACCTGCTGATCAGTGCTGGCTTGCTCAGCTACAGCGAGTGAGGCTGCAGAACGCGGCATCTGAGGCTGGGCCACGACGGGATGTGGAGTTTTATTGCGGACAAGATGCAGTGTCCACTTAATAAAAGGCATCATGGACTTTTATTTTCTGCAGCCAGGACTGTCAGAAAGTCACAGAAGCATTTGAATAATTAGTGGGAGCAGATGTGCTAGTTTGGATATGGAAGGCTTTTTCGTTTTTTGTTTTTTTTAAAATATATTTGAGTGTTTTTGTCTCTCTCCCTTAAAGACAAATTCTTTTCCATTTAACTTAAGTTTAAGTTATATTTTGACTTTGATATATGGAAACATTTTATGCCATCATAACCACATCACCCAAACTTGAAGCCTTGAAGACATAACTTTCTTTTTAGTCCAAATCAGCTGAGATAAAAATATAGTGGCTGACTTTTATGCCCAAATGTGTTTTTTTCTTTATCTAAATGTTTCTTCAAAAGAGAAGCTATCCATTTGTATTTCAGAATTTCAAACAAAATTTGAAGTTGTAAAAAGACCAGATCAGCAGTAGAAAATAATTAAAAGAGAAAGAAATAGATGCTGTCAGACATGGAGAGAAAAAATGTTCATAATGTCTTGGAGAAGTAAATTGATCCAGACTTTTTAACCTGAGTCAAAAGGGACAGATTGAAGTTAACTAATGAAATGCGCATCTTTTTCTTCTTTTTTTCTTTAGACAGACTCCTCCCATAAATTTGCCACCATGGTTATCATGTTGAGGCAGAGCTCCTAAGTCCCTTTAAGAAAGAGTGACTCTCTCTTTGAATACAGGGGAATGTAAGAGTGATGGTACTTCATTGTGCTGGCTCTGAAACCCATGGAGTCAGCCATCTTGCATGCGTTCGAGTTTGCCAGAGCAAGGAGTAGAGAGCGTGGAGTCCTGAGTGTGCGCAGAGGCTGTCGGAGAGAGATGAAGTTCTCCTTTCTTGGCACTGGAACGCCTGCCCAGCTGTAAGAGTCGGCGACGCACACTCTGGAGATGAGCCCGCAGAGGCTCAGAATCTCGCTTACATGGCTCGCCCGGCAGCAAGGACAGTCTGGAGCGATGTCTTTTATTCCAGGATCAGAGTTCAGGTTTGGGTTTCGGCTATGGTTTGGCTTTACCGAGTCACGATTTCCCAAGTGTGAAATAAAATACTGCTGGGACAGGTGTCCGCAGCTCTCACAAGACGGGCGTCGCGCCTCAGAAGTGTGTGTGCCTGCGACCGCGGCCTCGTTCATATCTGCCTTGCTGATGTTACTTTTCTTACTGTTTCACAATTTTGGTTGAAATTATATTGGGTGCTTTGTCTTAGTAAGCCTGATTTGTTTTGCATCGAACCTCTCTTCTTCAGTAGTTGATATTCTAATCATTTCTATCAAAACCAGGCAGACATAAACCACTGATAGCAAAAAAAATGTATTGTGTGACCTCTACAGCAACATAGTGGTAGACGTTACTAGATATTTCTTGGAAACCTCCCAGGAAATAACTATAGAATAAACATGAATAATATGTATTTTAGCATGTTATGTCCCAAGGACAAAATGAAATATCTTGAGGTTGGTTGACTTCAATTAGTACTAGTTGGTGAAACTAGAAGTAAGAATGACTTTTGTTTGGCCAAACATCAAAGATAGTAGTTACTTATGTGTCACTTTCCTGTTTGCATTCAACTGGATTTACCACTCGCCCTCGACAACCAGCTGATCGTGTGTGTGTCTTGTGCTGTTTTAAGAGCGTTAAGCGCCAAATGAGTTGGACAAGAGTGTGTTGGTTACTCTGCAGAGTTTGTGCACTTTCGGCATGTTTGTGCCTCTTTCCAGCAGTGAGAATAATACAGCCATTCACAAAAACAGCTGTCTGAAAATGTCACTTTGATGCCTACACTTCAACAAGATGTATTTTTTCTTTCTTTTTTTTTAGCCATCCATCAAAAACTAGAAGCGGATGGCACGGAAAAAGTAGAAGGATCCATGACGCAAAAGCTGGAGAATGTTCTGAACAGTAAGTTTTGTCCTACCACCCAAAACTATTTATAGACTTTATAACAAGCTTGAGTATAGTTCTTGGACCTGATTTCACGGAAGAAGGCACTACATGGCATTTTAGTATTTATTTCTTAGTAGTGATGATTTAATGAGCATAAAGTGGTATTAAAAACATTGACAATGAATGTCCTGTTTCTGTTTGCATTTTATTTAGGAGAAATAATTTGAAAGCGGGCCAGATATTCTTCTTAAGAAATAAAATTTGCTGCCACAAAAGAGACCACTCTATAAATAGCATCACCCAAGATAGAAAAGTGGCGAGAGGCAGAGTTTGGGATGGACATAGACCCAAAACCTGAAAAAAATCTGCCTGCGTAAATGCAGATGTTATCAGCCAGTAAAATGGCAGATACTTTGCTGTCATTTATTTATTTATACCTGTTTCCAAAAGAGTTTAAGGCAGCTGCATACTTAAGAATGTTTCTAATTCTGAGGCAGTTTGCAAAAATGAGGACCAAGAGAAATGGGTATATGCCAAGCTTTGGCCCCACCCACCTCCCTAGTGTCTTTGTTCCTGAAATCCTAACCCCCAGCTCCTTGCCCCACTCATTTGGAAGAAACTCTTCAGATGAACCAATCCCTGTTAAATTATTAGTGGCTCAGAAATAAGTCATCCATGTTCACATGGATGATAAACATCTGACATGGAGAACCGTCCTGTTTTGAAATTCCAGGATAGTGTGTTATTTCCCCATGAACGGGGGGAAGAGTAAGACACAGTGGAGTCCGCATGTCAGAGCTCCATTGAGTCCCGTGAACAGAACTTCGTGGGCCTTTTTTCTATTTGTCTTTCCACCTGGGGGTTTTTGATAAGGGAGTATCTTCCAGAAGAAGCTGTAACTCGACAATGGGTTTCCTCATTGGCAGAACTTGGGGTTTCGTCGGAAGAGTTTAACAGCATGTTAGATGTTTTCCCTCTGGTGATTATTGTCCTTATCGATGTTCTTTTGCCTTGTTTTTGTCTGAGAACCCAGTGACCAGTTTTGTTGACATGAATGTCTTCTGAGTTCTACCCAAACGAATGCCTGCTTAAGCTCTGTCTCTGGGAAGCGTATAGTCAGACGCTCCAGGTCTTGGGGATACAGTCCCAGGTCACGGGTGCTGTTTTCACTGGACAAACTGTGATCAAAGCATGATATCTGTGAAAAACTGAGATGATTTCAGTTCGTTTTGAAAAGGTGACATGTAAAAAGGAGTGGACACCCTAAGTGTATCATTGTGTCAGTGAAAGAAAATAGATACTTGTTAAAAGTTGGGGAAAAGCGAATATCTGTTTAATGTGTTAGGCTTTGCAGAGTGTGTTAACACATTTTTTTCTTCTTCTAAGGAGTAGTGAGAAAATCCACCCTTGGGAATTGTGGTATAAAAATTGTAAGGGAAATTATTTTACTTCTGTTCCTTTATAACCACAAACTTTTTCTAGAAATGTGTCACATCCAGTTTCTACTGAGGTTTGCTCGTTTTGGATAAATAAAGCTGGGCTTAGTATAAATGGGAACTTCTTTATGAGATTGTCCTTCAGGAGTTTCTGGTATAAAATTTCCCTTTACGTGTATTCCTTTAAGCAACCCTTATGTCTAGCAACTTTTTCTTCATCGGCTTGATGTGGATGTTCGTTTAGACTTAGAATAAGGTTTTGCTAGGCAATGTGACCGACCTTTGCTACGCTCTGGTTGGATGTCGACACTGTGATTGGCCCAGCATGGGGGGCAGGGTCCTGTGCCCCCTGGCTATGTTCGGCTTGCCCAAGATGTTGGAAACTGTAAGACTTGGGGACCAGAAACAAAACTATAGTGTCATGGAAAGTTTAGCTCATTTTCTTTTGGAAAGGAGAGAAGAAACAGATTTGAGGATGAATTTAGGTTTACTTAGAATAGTAATATTTGCAATAATAACTGCATATGGTTATTGCTGACCTTAAACAACACCAAGTTTAGGGGTGCTGTTCTCCATGCAGTCAAAGCCCCACATGTAGCTTTGACTCCCCCAAAACTTACCTGCAAATAGTCTGCTGTTGAGGATAAGCCTGTGAGGGAAATAGTTGGATTATAACACATTTGTGGAAGTGTGTTATGTGTATGATATACTGCATCATAAGGGAGAGGAAATAGTTACTTTACTGTACTGCTTATTGAGAAATGATTGCATGTAAGTCCACCCGCACATTTCAAACACCTGCCCCTTGCTCAGGGGCCAACAGTGAAACTAATTCATATGTCCTTTTCCTCAGTTACTTAACAACTTGGACAACACTCCTCACTCAACCTCCAAAGTACAATACCGACGGTCAGAAACTTAGCCCATATTTTATTCAGCATTTACGATGTCAGAGCCTTCCACGGAAACTCTGTCTTGTTTCCACTGCATGTGGTTCTCATGCCAGTGGTGCACTTCACAGGTCCCCTGGCTTCAAGCCAGTGCTGCAGCAGTGCCTCTGCTCGCAGACGCCACCTCCTGACTGCGTGTCCGCCGTGTTCCAGGAGGCAGGTGGCTCTGAGGTGCAGGAGAGCGTGGGGGGGATTCAGCCCACGGCAGCGCTGCTTGAGCGGTCACTTTGATGTATTTCACTTTAATGAATTTTTCTTTAAAGGAAACTGCCCCATGCAGCCTGGAGCTGCCGTACTGGACCGTGGCGTCACCGCCATGTTCCTGGCAGCAGCGGCCATGAGGTAGATAGCTAAGGCCTTGCAGTGTCCTCTGGGGCCAGGGGTTGCCCTAGCCATTCTCCATCTGTGAGGCCCTCGCCGGGGCCCTCCGGGGTGTGTGCTCCGGTCTCCATCCTATTGATGGAAGCCCGGAAGGGTCGTGCCAAGCAGTAAGCAGCAGAGCTGGGATTAGTAGCTAGAAATCTGCCTCCAGTGTGTGACTTCCAGCGGGACAGACCCGGTCGTGCCTGGTCTCGATAGGCCTGAGTTTCAGTTGCCACAGGTCAGTGAGACAGCCCGTGTCCACCCCTCTCCATCCCCTATGGTTCAGACCCGTGATTGCCGGATATTTGCCAGAGTGGCCTCAGGGCAGTGTTGACCACCAGCTCCCAAGGGCCAGGTCACCTTGTAAATGACAGAGGGTGCCGGTGGCCAGTAACTGGCCACTGCCCTGCACCCCTCTTGCCAGTTCACGCAAGCAGCAGAGTGCAGGGTGGTGCTGCCTCTCTGCTCCCCACTGAGTCACCCAGATGGTATTCTACAAAGGTGGGGGAGGGGCTGGGCCCCGCAGATGAAAGCACCACAAGCAGCAGATGGTGCTCGCAAGTGTCAGTGGAACAGTGGAGGTCAGCGGTAACGGGACTGAGTTTTAAGAGGAGGAGCTGACCCTGAGCGTGGGCCCGGCCGCAGCTCACTCTCTGTAAGTCTGGTCAGGGTCTTGGTGACAGTGGGCTCACGGTGGGACTGAGGAATGTGCGGAGGAGACGCTTTCAGAGCCCTGGGAGATCAGCCGGGTGGTCCTCGTAGTCGGGTGCACGCCCTTGAAAAGGAGCGTGCTGAGGCTCCCTGGTGGCCTAGCACTTACGTCTCAGCGCTGTCAATGCCAAGGCCTGAGTCGGGTCCCCGGCCAGGGAGCCACCCCCAGGGCGCGGCAGACCTCTCCTGTCTCCCCGCTGCTCCCCAGCAGTGGGTTTCAGTGTACCCATCTGCCCTGCTCCCCACTCTGTTTCTGTGAATCTTTTCACCCCCTGCACACCTTTGTCCTGTACCCCAGTTCTTCTACACACAAAAAAGAAAGAAGAAAGGAGGGTGGCAATCTCTCAAGCACAGAACAGATGCCCCCTGTAGAAACGTGATGGCCACGTGAGGAGACAGACAATCTTGATTTTGCTTTGCAAAGAATAAGAATTTCCAGTGTTTCTAATGTGTTAAATTACAGTGCACTAACCTTGCTGTTCTTTTCATTTACTTACCGATGACCACAGTGAACTTTAATGTCCCAACAAAGATGTCCAAAAGTCACAGAACGGTGGTAACTTTCCCCTTGTGATTAAGATCACTTGCTGGGTTCCAGCTTGCTTGGCTGTTTCTTGGTCCCAGGGGTGCTGTGTAGCACAGGCACCCACTCCCCACCTTTCTAAGTAAAGAAAGGTCCCGGCCCTGGTTCAGAGACTGGTTTATAAGGAGCACTTATTGAGCACATGTTTGTTCTGTCCCAGGGTGGGGAGATAAAACTTGCTCTTTACTTCCAGGAGTTTATAGGCTAATGGAAAATACATCCAAATAAGTAGGGGATTAAACTGTGGTGTGATAATCTCCGTGTGGTAACCCTGGGTGCAGCCCTGGTAAGGGGTACCTGCTCACAGTGGTGTGGGAGCCCTCAGGGAGGGTGTGGGAGGCTTTGGGGGTGTCTCAGAACCCAGGCCAGCAGAGGTGGGCTAATGGGCAGCTCAGCAGGTCCAGGGGTGTCCTGGCAGGGAGCTGACTGCAGGCTGGGAACCAGGAGCCGGTTTGGTGACTTGTTGGGTGGGGTGGGGGGGGTCAGTAGACGGGCTGGGCTCATGATGGCCTCCCTGTGGCCTCGTGGATGTTGTCTTTACTCTGCAGGTGACCGCAGAGCCACTGCAGGAGGTTACCAAGGGGCGTGATGCTGTAGACTTTTCACAGAATGTCCGAGTGTCCAGTGGTAAAGTGAGAGCGAAGCACTAGGAGCTTTTAGCCAAAGCCCAGGCGGAGGCGAGGAACAGTGTGAGCAGGTGTGAAGGGCAGTGTCTGGTTAGTTTGATGAGGGACGTAAGGAAAGGGAGTAGTTAGTGATGGCATCCAGATTTCTGGCCTCCGGTAGAGGATGAAAGAGCAGCTTGAGGTAGCAGGAGAGCAGTGGAGAGGAAAATGTTAGCTGCAGTCGTAACACGTAGAGTCTGAGATTCCTGGGGGTCGGCCCCCCAGTGCCTTTCTGGCTCTCGGGTCTTCCTCGCCGTGTCACACTGAGCAAGCTGGGTGAAAGCTCGGGGCTTCGGGTGTCTGCCGCGTCAAAGAGGAATACAAATAGTGCCCGTCTTGTGGGGATAAGCGAGATGAAAGGAATTAAGAACGAATACCTGTTTTTAGAGTAATTAGGAACCTCAGAGAGTGGATATAAAGGTTTTAGCCCCTTGTATGGAATAAGTGTCATAGTGGCTGCCACTATTTGTCATGTGGGACTCAAGCCTGTAATCCACATATATGGGGACATACTTGCAAAGATCAGCCGTAAGCTCCAGACCCATCTTGAGATACAGGTTCAGGAGTCACAATATCCGGTAGTCCCGGAAGCAACAGAATTGCATGATTTACCCAAGTAACGTGTGTAACGTGAAAATAAAATAAGAGGCCCTCCCTGGGGGCGCAGCGGGTTAGAGCGCAGCACTGAGAAGCTGAAGCCTCTTCCGCATGAGCTCGATCCCCGCCCGCCCCGGAGGTGACCCCAGGGCGCGGCAGACCTCTCCTGGCCTGCTCCCCTCAGCAGTGGACTTCGTCAATCTGCCTGTTCTGCTCCCCACTCTGTCTCTGGTGAATCCTCTCACCCTCCACATCTCTGTCCTGTACCCCAGTTCTGTATGCATAAATAAATAAATCTTTAAAAAAAAATAAGAAAGCCCAGGACTTTAAACACTAAGGAATTCCAGGAAGGGTCAAGTTTATAGTTTATCCCAGCAGTATGCTGACAACAGCTGCTGTTCAAAAAGAAAGAAGGAACAAAGAAAATTAACCCAACATCAGCATGGCCAGCGTGAAAATTCTCCCATCGTGGTTGATTTCAGTTTCCCAACTTGACGTCCTGCGTCTTGTGAGTGGTGTGAGCCAACGTCCGCTCTGTCAGCCCTTGGTGTCATTATAGAGCGTGGCACTCAGTACACAGACACTGCCTCAAAGATGGCAACCTGGTCCTCTCTGGAATCTGTTTAGAAACGGAGATGTGTCTAGAAGGTCTCTTTGTGGTCTGGTTTTACTGTGAATTTCAATGTAGATTTTAGTTATTTTAGATTCCAGATATTTCAGTGCATCTTTCCCTGCTCTCATTCAACTTGTCTGCCCTTAGGGGAAGCTGGGTTGTAGTGTGTGTACATGGTGGCTCGGAGCAGGCATGACAGGGGAGGGGATTCCTTCTGTCCCCCAACTCAGGTCAACTGGGGGAGTATAGGTTAAAACCCACTCTAGTCTGCTGTCTCAAGTGTCTGTGCCAGGCAAAGGAGCAGTGAGGGAGCTTCAAAGTACAAGAAAGCACAGTGTTTACTTAAGTCAACTTGCTTAGGGTGATAAGACGCCATTAGAATGACATCACTGACTTTCCTTGATGACAAGACAAGCGTTTCTGGCACAATTAGAACGTTTCTTTGTCAGCAGGCAGGTACCGACTCCGTGCAGAGCTCAGCTGGCTTTCTATCCACTCGCTGCTTTTCCGGCTTTGCTGAGAGATAATTGAGGCGGAGCGTGGTGTGAATTGAAGGTGTGCAGGTACAGATTTTTACCCTGATTGCTCCTCAGTCACGTAATTCAATTCCTTTGTGTGTGGTGATACCATTGGAGGTCTTTCAGCAACTCTCAAGTTAAGAGACTGCGTTAACGGTCTTGGAGTCACTGTGTGAAAGCTCCCCAGGACCTTTGCGTCTTCTAACTGGATGGACATCTCCCCCACACCTCCATATCCCCATATTGGTGACAGCAGGCAGTCACTTCTCAGACTCTGTCTCCCTGACGTAGCTCACGTAGCTTAGTGCCCATGAGGTGCTTTCTTGGGGTCCCCTCTTGCTCTGTCTGCCCAGCTCCTGGGGGTGGCCACAATGTGATCACAGCTGTGTGGCTGCTGGTGCTCTGGGTGTGTCTGTGACTAAGACAGTGATAGTCACTGGTGTTGACACCATCCCCTGGTGAAAAGAAAGCACTGAGGTTTTAGGTCTGGGCTCTGCCACAGGCTGGTAGATGAAATAACAACACGGAGTCCAGAAATGCGGTTTTCATGACCCTTGTTGTCTGAGGACATTTGTTCTGTGGTTACACACTCGGCGTTCAAACCAGCTCCCTGAGAATGGGCTGTTCTGGGTACAAGAATGCAGGCGTGGTGTGATCAAGGCTCACAGGGTCGGCCCTGGAAGGTGTCTGTGGTGCCTGACGGATGGCTTGTTCACAGTGTGGCTTCACGAGTGGACAGCAATGAAGAGTGCAGAGCGGCCCTAGAAAACAAAACAAAGTGTTTCGTGAGCTGCCAGTGATTGTTCTCTTCTTGCACGAATCTTAGTTTTACCGCTCTCATTTATTTTACTACAGGACATCATCATTCTGCAAAATTAGTTAAGAACTGCCCACATCTTACTGAGAACAGTAAAATTCACAACAGCACCATACGATGGACAGGAATTATCTACAAACTGTAACTCTGATCTTGTGATTTATGCTTCATCTTTGAATGCACCAAACAAAATGCTTTTTACATACATGTATACATGTATTTCACATATTTCTGTGTCAACAAGTTATAATTCGTAGTTTATACTTTCTGCCTTGGATTTTTTAAAAATACTTTTTAGAGGAGTTAAAATTATTAGCTGGTAGCAGATTTTGTTGTTGTTACTGTTAAGGTGAGCAATGTCAAGTTTTTAGCTCTTAGGCTTTTTAACCCTAAATTCCTTCATTATATAGAAGAAAAAAAATGCCTGGGTATTTAACATACACAACTAACATAAACTAATGTACTTTTATAAAGTATTCAGTCTCATTCAGCTGTCTGTTCACTTCCGAAACCACAATTCCTGAAGCTTATATTTTTTAAATGCTCACAAAATACACAATAATTTCCTTTGAAAGAAAAGCTCTAGGAAGATTTCAGATATTCACTTCGCCACCCTTATGTGGGCTGGTGGCAAGAAGGGAGATATTTTTTCTCATCTTCGAGTAGAAACTCAGTATTCTACATCAAACAGCATGTGGTGAAAACAGCTATCTTGACAAAACAAAGTTTTTATATTAGGCCTTTAAAATTTCAGCAGAATTTAAACATTATTTAGATAAAACAATTATGTTACAAAGGCGACTTTTAACACGATCAGGCCACCCACAGTGTGGACGAGGGACTGAGGCATGCGAGCCACCCAGTGAGCCTGAGATCATTTTTTCATCTTTGCTTAAAGTGTAGTCACTAGACCAGATAATGTAGAAACTTTTTATGAGCAGCGATCAAACAGTTGAAAACAGTTTATCCTTTCTCTCCCCTTTCCTTGTGGCTAATTAAAAATAATTCACAAGTTGAAAAAATTTAGCTATTTTTATACACAGTAAATTTTGCTTTAGATAAAGCACCTCTTTCAGTATAGGGATTCATACGGTTTGAGGATGTTTTAGGTAAATGTGTATGTACTTAGTGCCCAATTTATATAGAATTTTGTAAGACTGGCAGGTTTAAGAAAGATTTGCTTAATGATATTATTAGAACTTTGTCATTTTAAATTGCGTGTATACTTTTCTGTGCCCGCTACCTAATGAGATCATTTTAGCAAGAAATAGGATTCGTTTTGAAAGGTTTTTTTGGAACAGCTTTTCTGAAAAGTATTTTCCTTGTTTTGTTTATTATCTCGTGCGTAGATCCCGAAGGGAACCCAGCACACATGTGTGTGTGAGTGCATTTTAACCCGTTGTTTGAATCAGTGAAAACACGCAAGGGCCCATAATTGCCGCAAAATTTAGAGGTGTAGCTAAAGCAGATGTAGGTTCAAATCAGAGGACTCGTTTGGGTACGGTAAGTGGAGTTACCTCTTAATTGGCTACTGTTCTCAGGTATGAAAAGTCTTTATTGGCGTTTTCAGCAAATCCCCAGTGACCTGCCACATGCCTGCCTTGAAATGCCTGTCATTTCCAGGAGAGCTCCCAGAGCCGCCTGCCGCCCTCAGTGCCTGCCGCCCAGTGTCACACAGAGTCCGTGTCTGACCTCAGTTTCTTTCGTCCCTGTCATGTAGGAGCGAGCACTACCGCCGACACGCTATTTCAGGAAGTGTTGGGTCGGAAGGACAAGGCAGATGCCACCAGAAACGCCCTCAACGTGCTCCAGCGATTTAAGTTTCTCTTCAACCTCCCTCTGAACATTGAAAGGAATATTCAGAAGGTAAATGGCTCTGTGGCTGCGGTGAGCGGCACTGTTGACCTTGAAGAGTTGAGAGGCTTTGACGCGAATGCAGTGTCTTCCTTACGCTCCAACTGACGGTTTCCAAACTGTTTCTTTTCTTTTTTGAAGGGTGATTATGACGTGGTTATTAACGATTACGAAAAGGCCAAGTCCCTCTTTGGAAAAACGGAGGTTCAGGTTTTCAAGAAATGTAAGCTGTGTTTATTACTGTTACATCTTGTGCTCCCCTTTTTAGGGAGAATGTGGAATGTATTCTGTGAAGAATGTTCCATGTGATGCAGTTTTTGTTTATGTGGTGCTCTTTTAAAAATGTAAAAAAAAAAAATAATAATAACAGTGACTTCAAAAATAACAGCATGGCTTTTCCTACCAAGAGTCATTGAAAACAAGCAGCCGTGCTAATGGCTGGTCAGTCTCAGGCACTTTTCTCTGCCTTCACCGTGGATTATTAAATAATTTTTACTGGAAATAATCAACTACAGATATTTTCTATAAACGGAAACCTATGTTTTCGTCATCCCTCTTCAGATTGATCGACACATTGATGAATTCTAACATAAATTGCACAACTTTTGAAATTATGTTGAATGGCTAAAGTCACAGAAAGTAGAAAATTTAAAATGACCTTTGGTAATGCCTTGTCGACTGGGGAAATGTCACAGGCCTTGATTCAATTCACACATGAAATACCTAAGGACTCAGAAAACTTCATTTTCTCTTTGTGGTGCATTTTCATGCAGCAAAATGCATAGACCTTCCATGTCACGAGTCAGCGAGTTTGATAGACGCACACACCGTGAACCCCACGCCTCAACGGAAGGTTTCTGTCATTCCAGAAAGTTCCCTTGTGCCTCTTCTCAGTCAGCCCTGATGCCTCCAGGTTCTTTCCACAATTTTCACTGCAAATCTCCCTTCTGTTAATCTCACGTGTTCCGTGTCATTTCCTCTTTCAACAGACTATGCCGAGGTAGAGACACGGATCGAAGCTTTGAGAGAATTACTTCTGGATAAATTGCTTGAGACACCATCAACCTTACATGACCAAAAACGCTACATACGGTAAAGCTGTGAGAATTTTGACCAGTCGTGTATGTGTGTGGTCCTGTGAGCCTCATCTGACTCTCGAAGCTAATTTGGAGGCAATTAAGGAGGTTGAGGAAATGGTGAGAGGGAAAACAAGGATCAGAAATGTAGGCATCGGCTGATGATGAGCCTGGCACGTGCCCCTGAAAGGGAACAGCGTGTCGCTGTGAGGGGACGCATGCCGCCCGCGAAGGGGAGGACACGCCCCTCGTCGCCAGTCAGCTCTCCCCTGCCCCTGCTCAACAGCGGCCCCCCCCCCCGGGGTGTGTGGGTGCTGCGCCGGGCACCCACGGGCCAGGCTGCCTGCATGGGCCGTCCCTGCCGGGGACTAGCTGCTGGCCCTGATGGCCGCATTGGTTCCTCTCTTTAGTTTTTTCATCTGTAAAATGGACATGAGATAATCGAGACTCTACTTAAGGATTTAACGTAGTCCCTGGCACCTGGCGGTTGATGACAGACAGAAAGAGTTGATGGCAGAATTTGGAGACAGTCAAGGCATATATATGAGAAACTTTTAATCTGTGATTTAAAAATACTTTGTTTTCTCTAGCATACTTCTCAGAATCAGCTGTCCTTTCCTAAACTTAATGCCCTCCCTCTTTTACTAGTGACATTTATTGACATTTAGTCACTGTAAAATAATCATAAGCTGTGGGAACCACATGGTTACTAGGTGACCACTGGAGACAGCTGGCAGGCCTGGGAAGGCTGCAGCCTTAACGCCGCAGTGTTAGCAGGCGAGGGTCCGCCCAGACACGGGACTCCGGCAGTGCGGGTGAGGGGAAGGTGGGAGCTTGAGCTCAAGTCGCTGTCAGCGTGTCCTTTCATTCTTCCTGAGAGGGAGGGGGCAGTGAGTGGAAAGCACTAGAATTCTGCTGCCGCTTCCGGGCTCTGTAGCGACGTGCCATCTGTCACACCAGCTCTGCAGGGGAAAGGCTTTTGCCTTGGGCCTGCTTTACCGGTAGAAGACCTTGGTAGAAGTCTACTCCAGCCAGGAGTAGACTCACGGCTCTCTGTTTGGCTGAAGCCTACTTTTGCTTCGCTAAGTTGAAAACTGTGTGGGGGAATGATTACAAAACTGTGTGTGCATATGTATATATAGATATAGATATAGATATAGATATAGATATGATATAGATATAGATATAGATATGCATACACACGCATATATATGTATATATACATATTATATGTATCGGGAGCGTTTTTCTAGTTTGTAGAATCGTAGAAATTTACAGCTGGAAATAAAACACATGTGAGTTGCCCAGCTGCTTTATTTTTAAACACATACAAAGTCAGAGTCCCTGGGAGGTTAGTGGCTATGTCCAGGACACACCGTGGGCCGCGTCTTCTCGTCTGCGTTCCTCTGTCTTACTCTACTCATCTTGCTTTGTGTGTATTTACCGGTCCATTCCATTCGCTTATGGAATGTGTGATTTGTTTATTAAATGAATTGCCATTTATAGAGCTAATGTGCACGTCTTCTGAGTTGTTAACTTACCAGGTGCCATTTAAGAGATGGTAGATGTCAAAAAAGATTGTTTTAAACGGCCTGTTTATAAATGCTCTTCTCCTGACATTTCAAAAGAAAGAGGATGGCAACCGGTTAGTTTAAATTTTAGTCATTTTATGTGTTATCCTTTTAAAATTATGTTTAGTCATTCATACATAGGAATGATTACATCATAACCAGGCCAGCTACCTGCTGGACGTTGAACTCGCTGATAAAAGATACTGTGAGGATAGGGCAGACCCAGCTTCATCACCAATATCAAATTAATAAACCTGTATCAGTTGTCCTGCAAACTCACAGTTATCCCTACTTTGGTCCACTCTTTTATCTGATTAACAGTGTTCTGATTGTTCTATCTTAATGCTAGGAACTTCAGCAAGAGCAAAGTGCCACTTGCTTCTTTCCATGTCAGTGTAATGCTATCCCTGGTAGTTGTTAAAATGCAGTCAGAATATGGCTAAAAACTTTAATTCTTAAATTAGAAAAATGTTGAACTCATCATCATTAACATTCTTTACCTTTTCCCCATTTCAGAAAGGCCTTTTCAGAAAGTGTTCTTTGATACGCAGTTTTAAAAGAAATAGCAATGCCATGTATCATATTCTAAACAAAGATCTTTGAAATGAAACTACTTATTTTAAAGCTCGGTACCAAAAGAAACGGAGAAACTTATTTGATTAAGTCAGTTAACCAAGGAAAAGCCTAGCACAGGTTGTGCTCTTGAACTCAGACACTCTAGGATTTCTGAGACAGCAATTTACCCTCCTTTATAAAACCCTTTTAATGTGATACTCGTTAATAAGATGATAGAGGAGAATTACTATTAGATTTGCAAGAGCCCACACAGCTTACAACTGTAAACGCTCCTCAAAGAAGCTTGTTGATTTCTCTTGCCGTACCTAACAAGAGGCCTGTCATGGGCCCTCCGCCTGGCTGGCCAGTCCTTTGTAGATGAAGAGAATCCTAAAGGAACACGCTGCTGTGTTAGCCCTGCTGTGGGTCTGAGGGCATCATGAGCACAGGTGTGGAAGAATGTACGTAAACGCACCTGCCCTGCCTGGGCCGAGACTGAGACAGACCATCCCCAGTAGGAAAGGACAGAAGTGCGTGTCGGGAGAAGTGACCTAGTCGTCTCCACTAGCCCGTGCAGGCCGGGGTCAAAGGTGCCTTCTCAGAGCTTTATTCTCTGCCAGCTTGCTGCAGAATGCGCTTGGGTCCCCTGTAATTAGCTGCTGGTTGAAACATCTATGAATAAGGGCGTCAGATTGGAGGGAATATGAGGGAGAGCTGTGATTAAGATTTGGCCACGAGTTACAGCCCATAACCGTTCATTAAAATTTATCATTGAACCAAAATCTTTAACCCCGAGACTGCACGCAGCTTGCGGCTGAGGAGTGTCTTCAGACACCAGCCTTTGGGAGTTGGTTTATTGGATCTTACTTGCCAGCCTTACCAGTGGGAAGGCCCAAAACGGGAATAATATTTGGCAGAAATTTTTGATCTGCATCTGTTTCAATGTTTTATTGGCATTTGGATATTTTATGCGTAAAGAAGACTTTCTTATTTAAGAACTATTTAAAATGAAGGCAAATCCCCTACACTGTTCTCCGGGAAGGCGCTGTCCCATGAAGGAAGAGTCTAGACGCGAGGATCACATGCGGTCCTCCTCATCTCTCCCGTGGTCTCTTGGTCCCTTACTCCTCACCCCCCCAGTGTGACCGGCTAGGAAACAGTGCCACACTGCCACCTCGTGGCAGCATTTCAGGCCAGAGAGGAATTCAAGAAACAAACCCTGAAATCTTAAAATGTCACCGGAGCCTCCCGCCTGTGTTGCCCGTCACGGCTGAGGATGAAGTGGAAACACACGGTGAGCCAGGGGGAAGGCGCCGTCCCACGTGCCTCCCTCCAGAACCGTCTTCCCGTGTGCTCTTCCCGTGAGTAAACATGCTTCTGTCTTTATAGCACTGTCTTGGCACGGAGAAGCACTGGCTTACCCTGGTGAGTGTGCAGGGCTACGCAAGTGGCGTTTGGCCTTTCAGAAAGTCCTAAGACTTGTGATCATCCTTGTGAAATACGTGCAGAGACACGTGAACCCGTTTCATGTGGAACAGAGTGGTGAAGGCTGGCAAGTGCGGTGCTAATCGGTTTTATTTTTTCCAAAAAGCAGCCTTTCGGAGACGCCCTCGCTGGTGGGTGGCTGCAGGGCGGAGGCCCTCACTCAGCGCTGGCCTTGTTCTTGCAGGTACCTGTCGGACCTTCGCGCTGCAGGCGACCCTGCGTGGCAGTGCATCGGCGCCCAGCACAGGTGGATCCTGCAGCTGATGATGAGCTGCAAGGAGGGCTGCGTGCAAGGCCTCAGAGGCAAGGGCTTGTCCCCGCTTGCCGTGTCCTTCCGGAGCGCGGGGGGGGGGGGCTCTAGCTGGGCGTGCTGGCTTCACCCCCGCACAGAAGCATGACGCCTGGGCGAGGAGCAGAGCTGGGAGGCGATCAAACTCTCCCTGTGCCCGCCTCACAGGGACGGCCACACTGACAGAGATTAGTTTGGGAAGCAGGTGTGGGGGTCACGTGTGGTCACAGGATGGCAGTCCTTAAACACGGTTCAGTCCACTCACGGCTCCACCCAGCGTGTGTGAGCCTGCGCGTACCCGCGGAGAGGCCAAGTGGTGAGTAGACCCCACCCTGCCGTCGTGGCGGAGACGGGGCCCTTGAACTCGGACGGTGACGAGTGGTACGCGGCACCGGCCCCTTGGCTGGGGACAGGGCTGGGAGATGGGTGGTTTGGCGGTTTCCCCATCGCCTGGTGGCGCCACAGTGAGGCCTCCGGGCCCCCTTGGCGCAGCTGCTGCACGCCGGCCCGTGGCACGGCTCCTAGACCGCCGTCACGCGCGCCCCGGGTTGGCCACAGTTCAGTCGTCGCCTGGCTGTACGGAGCATGAAGTGAGGGGCATGCTTAGACGGCTGGGCCGGAGGCGGCTCAGGAGGCCCAGGAGGTGGGAAGCGGGCCGGGCCGGGCCAGCTCCAGCTCAGGGAAGGCGCAGCAGGGGGCAGGGAGAAGCACAGCTGCCTCCACACGTCTCTGTGTAATTCCGGCCTCCCCGGGGCGCCCCAAGGTGGTGGGCGTGGGGGAGACTCCAGAGCTGTTCAGAAGCTGCAGTTGACAGGACTCTGCCAGAGGAATGCAGAGGAGCGAGGGAGCAATGGTGGGCGACTCCAGCCGCCCTGCCTGGGCCCCGTCGAGTTCGTGTGCAGAAGAGGGAAGGCCCTTGCCCGCCCTTGGCGCAGGCTGGCCTTGCATGGTGTGCCTGTGGAGGCATCGTGAGGCTGGTTGGATTGAAAGAACGGAGATTGGCACGAGGTCCGCCTCCGGATGGGCCTGGGGGCTGGGGCACTCGCCCACAAAGTGGGAAAAGGAGAAAACCCAGGGCGGCACCCCAGGGCGTGCGATGGATAGGGCTGGTGGAAGGGAAGCAAAGGAGAGGAAGAAGGGGCTGCCCCTGGGGCTGGGAGGGAAGGCAGGGGTGTGGCGCCAGAGGCCAGAGGAGACGGGGTGAGCCGACAGGGTTTGGAGATGAAGAGTAAGCAGGTCTGTGTCCTTCGGCTTCGGCGCTGTCCGGGACCCAGGCAAAGGCAGGTGCTGTGGCTGCAGCTACCAAGTGGGTCATGTGGAGAGGCCCCGGGACGGGCTTCCAGGAGGAGCCACACGAGAGCTCCCCTGGAGCAGAAGGGAGCGGCAGGGGAGGGCACCATCGCTTGCTCACTACACAGTTTGATCGTGACTTAGTGGCTTGGATTTGAGTCCTTTCCCGCTGCAGCTTGGTTCTCTCCTAGTGCCACTGAACCCAAGTATCTCTATTGATGCTCCATCGAAACCCCTGTGAACTTGGTGCTTGTACAGCTGCGGCAGGGGGTGATGGCTCCAGGCGCGGCCCCGAGCCTGTGGTCTCTGGAGCCAGGGAGAAAGCCTGGCCTGCGTGTGTCTGCCACGCGAGTGACAGGGCTTTCCACAGGACGGCATGTCACATCCTCTGGGCGTTTAAAAGCCTAAGCTCTGAGCCTGCATCTCAGCAGGGGAGTCCAGGGGGCGATGGCCCAGCGGGGCTGACGCTCCTGGACAGGTGTCCCCTTGGGGCCCGGGGGCAGGGCGGAGCAGGGCTGTCTAGTTCCGTATCTGCCCCTGTGAGGGGGAAGAGGCCCCACATACGTGTTTATTATGTGACTACAACTGAGAAGTGAGTACTGAGGGGAGTGAGAAGTCACACCCCAGCCTATTTAGCAGGAGTTTAAAGAAGCTTCCGAGAGAGTTGGTATTTCCACTGAAGCGATAATGAAGAATGTTAATGACTGACATTTAGAAAGGCGTTGGGGAGCATCCCAGGTACCTAGCGGGTGCTCAGTGACACCTCCCGCCTCCCCCACCTGAGGAGTGTGACGCTTCTCCCAGCACGGCAGTATCCCCAGAGATCTGACCGAGGATTCTCTGCCTGTGGTGGCACAAGCAATCTGACTGTGCAGTTTGGCTAGAAGAAGTTTGAACGTCTGGGGCCTGTGTAGTCTGTGACCTCCACACTAGTTGAGGGATGGGAGAAAGTTCCAGGACATGTGCTGTTAGCTTACTGTCATGCTCGTACCGAGCTAGCTGAGAGGCAACACCGCCCGCCAGGGACACTTACCGGAGGGGCCCTGGAGGGGCCCCCTCTGCCCTGCTTCGCTTTGAGTCGCTCCCCAAGTTCATCCAGAACTTCTTAAAATCAGCGTTTCGGACCCAATGAATGACCATCGTTTATGTGTACCTGGAGCCCTTTTTATTTACTCTGTCCAAGCGTGCTGCAGAACTTGCTCGTTGCTGGTGCGTAATTGCAAGCATGTAGTTAAATGAGACAAGATAACGGACGTCAAATGGACCCACTTGTTAGCAGTGGACTTTGCCTAAAGGTTTTTTCATAAGTTGGTCTTTCCTATCTTTTAAGAAGAAAACAACTTAAAGTTCCTTGAACATGCTGCTCTGCAAATTTTGTAGCGACACAGTGTAAATTTTCTGTCGGTCACATACAAGTAGGTGTATTTAGATTCATGTCCCTTTGTCCTCCAGAAGGATGCTCTTATCTGCGTCCGCTCCAGTTGTCCAGATGCTCCCAACTTAGGCAACGTCAGGAGCCCTAGCACAGACACCCCTTCCCGCGGGGTGGCTCGCCTCTTCGGAGCTCACCTCAGAAGCAGTGTTTGAGGATTTCATTCGGAGACCTGCAGACATTGAAAAGCAGGGAGGGTGCGAGAGGACCGACGCGCCCGCCGGCTCCAGCTGCTCTCAGCTCAGCACAGTCCTCTTGTCTGTGTTTCCCTTCCCTGCGCGCAATTATTTTTGAGGCAGCTCTCAGCCTTCCATCCGCGGTTATTTCGTTTTCAAAGACGAAGGTGCTCTAGAAAGTTATAACCGAAGCCCCCCTGGCACTGCCTAGAGGTGAGCAATAATCAGTTTCATATTTCAGTCTCAGAGCGGCTTGTCTTTCTAAGTGCGTAGGCACCGTGGGCTTTGAGTGGACCCTCCGCGTCAAGGTGACCAGCAAGAACTGCGGCATGAGGTAGCCAGAACGTGAGTTTCCCGGAGCGGAAGAAGTAGCGGCTCACGGAGTCAGGTCCTCTTGGGCCACTTTCCGGCAGATCTGGTCGCGCCGTTCAGGCACGCGCACGTCGTCAGACACCCCTTGGCTCTTTCACAGACACTCGCCTGTATTCATACTTAGTACGCAGCGGTGTCTGTGGTCTGTTTATAGAAAGTACCTGTCTGGGCCCCAGCGGTGCTGGAGTCGGGAGATTTTCCTCTGTGTGACCTTCAGCCGTCCTCGTGATTGGTGGCTGCAGGCGCCCCACGTGTATCATGTGACACCCGCCTAGGGAGACGGGGCCGGTGTGCTAAATCGGTGTGTCATGCGGGCTTCCTATCGTGTGTCTTTACCCGAGCGTGACGGTTCCGATCTGGAAGAACTCTGGGGAATTGTCCACTTCCCTAAGGTCCGTTTTGCAGCTGAGAAGATGCCAGGGGCAGCCCAGCTTCCTTGAGCCCTGGGTAGGGCTAGGCCTACCCCCCTCCCGGGCCCTGCCCTGGCCCTCCAGGTAGGACAGAGGCTTTGCAACAGATGGTTGCAGCAAACCCTTCATGAGGCAGCTTTTCTGGACGCGACGGACGTCAGGACCGCAGCACAGCGTCTCCTGTGCCGCCTCTTGACGACGCCTCGGCATTGCCGGGGCATCCTGACCGCACCCCCCACCCCAACCTGTTTTCAGAAAGCTTGTCGCTTGCCACATCTAAAGAGCGAGTTGTGAGTTCTTCTGGTCTCACTGTCCTGGACGCTTAACACCAGAGAAAGAGAAATGACTATAATCATTCAAAGAAACCCCCGGGGCAGAACAATGGGGAAGAACCGAGAGCGTCTGATGAAATAAAATACAATTTTAAATAGTTAGACTGTAAATATTTCAGCCAGGGAAAGGTTTCTTGTTGTCTTTTAAAAGAAAGACAGTGTTTATGCCTGAATTTAAGAAACCTAATTAACATATAAGTCTGCTTCTTTAAGTCTTAAGGTCTTTACATGGTGGTTTGAAGTAAAAAAAAGTTAATTGTATTTAGTCTTGTGGTCTTCAGAGAAGATTTCATGAGCAGAGATGGTGAGAGATCTGCAGAGACAGCAGTCCTGACGTGAAAAACACCTTCTGCTGAGAGAGATGCTTTCGTGTGAGACATTTGTCAACAGAAGTGGCCAGAAGGTGATGTCCTTACAGACGCGGGGTCGGGCTTTCTCTGGATTGCACGTTTAGCGCTAGCATGTCCCGAAGCAAAGGTGGCATTCTCTGGGTCTCAGCCCCAGAGAGCACCCCTCTGCCTTCTCTCGCAGTACCCCTCACCGCCAGGGCTACTTCCCCGGCCCACATGAGGTCTTTTCTAAGGGGAAGTACGAAAATGGGAGAAAAATGAAAATGAAAAATTAATATTCGAAAGTCTTGTCTTGGAAGCTTAACTACGGATGGGAGAATCTAATTGTGGGTTTTCTTTCTTCTTTTTTCCCAACCTGAACTGGCGAACCGTTTGCCTTCTGTTCCCCGTCTTCGCAACCGGGCCTGAGACAGGGCCCACAAACGTCTTACCCTTGTAAGAGTGTCACGCATCTCTTAAAATTCCTGTGAAACGGTCCAGAATTAGACAAAGTCTTCAGGCTTCCTGGCAGGAAAAGCCTTTGGTTAGTTAGCCCCCCACTGGCATTCTCAAACGGAACTTTTAAAGGTGCCCTTCAAAGGTGTTTTTCTCTTTGTTCCGAAAATGAGTTTAACTCTTAAAATGTATGCTAGCCGTCTTCATCCCTCCGGGG